TAAGATAACCCATGGCACTTACAAAAGTTATGCCTGACTGATTGATACTTAGCCTGTTATAAAATGCAACATCTGCAGTTATCAGGCACGTGTGCTGCGGCCTAGTGTCTCCCTCGAAATACTATTTTTGGCAATACGGATGGATCTACAAGGTACAAATATGCATCAGTATATAATAAAGCCGATTGTACATCTGGTTATTAACTGCAGCGTAGTATATATTTTCTAATAGCTTTTCAAATCCGTAGCACAATTCTTTCAGAGAACTGGGCATCCAAGCTCGTCACCTTGGCTAGATGCTCTTGAGCCATTCAAGAAGGCGACTGAGGTCGCTGGGATACGTTTTCCGTCGTCAGTCCCACGAGTTTAACTATACTGCACTTGACCCGGCACCGCAGCCCACCTGGAGGCGCCGAAGTGGAGGGCAACTGAAGATTTGACTCGAAACCATCTGTCAAGACGTGGAAGCAGTTTTTTGAACTTCTATTTTCGGTCGCCGTCGCTGGAGAAGAGAGTGAGGGGAGCTCTCCAGATCCACTACCAGCAATCGTTACGCATGGAGAGGTACCCTTCGTTACATCATTGAGGCAGGCTAGATCAGGCACGATCACAGCCGTAACAACTAGCCAACCAACTGGCAACATTTGAACATCCTTTGACAGCAGGATCCGACGCGAATTCAGTGTATTTATACATTCCAAGCCTTTAAATATGTGTACTTTGTTAGCTACGTAAATTAATTCAGTTTCACAACATTCATTCGTCCAACAGTCAGTATATTCACATGCACTATACACGAGCTAATTACCTGCGTCACCAATGCAAAATTAGAAAAACGGTGCGTTTTATGCCGATCCTGCGAAGAGCGGCAAACGTCCTCCAACAAATTATAAGCATTAACCAACACAGATTTAGGTTGCATTTCCAATTTGGTTGTAGTAATCTCACCTCATTGATAGTGAGACAATGTGTCTCTTAAGCAGGTCTACACCATGCTTTTTAACCACTATTCAAATCTTAAATGGCTATCGTACATGAAAGTACATCGTACTGAGCAGCATGCTAGAATGCTCGATAGGTTGCAAAACAGGTTCGTGAGGTTAAAGTGAATCATACCATGGTAAGCAATTTTATTAAAATTAAATCAAACTGACTGAGTACTAGAACAGTTGGAACTGAAAAATCTCAGAGAAAAAGATAAACTGCTGGCCCCTGTGAAACAGATTATGGACCAGAAGAATAACAGAATTGACAGTGACAATCTGTCTGGTTTTTTTCAGTATTGGTTGCATTTAAGCTTTGCAAAAACACCCTGATAGCTTATTTTTCTACATTAATGTGGATTTTGATATGTATGGTTAAGTGGACAACACAGCTAATTGGGACATTTTGTTGGGAGCGCATCATAGAATGAAAGCCAGTTGCCCCCTATTGCGGAATCGAGTGACCTTATATTTTATTGGAAGGTGATAAATTACAATTTCTCTTTATATTTGAAAAACATACATGAAATTTCAGTTTATAACTTTAAAAGTGTTAGTTGCGGAAGGATTTAACTCATATTATAATGTATTTAGTGTTGGCGTGTGGTTGGGAAGGCGCTCACCAGTATCAACCACGCTGCCCGTAAAGGATTCATATGCTTAACTACCACTGGGTGCTTGCAACACTTTGCATAAGATTACGGCACTTGGGGAAATACACGTATTTTGGCAACGTGACCTGTAAAAGTTGTGCAACAGTGGCGTACATCGCAGGCTTATCACAAAACAATCGCATTCAGTCATTTTTAATGGAACAGGTCAGTAAATTTTATTGTAAAAGCAGCAAACTTGTTCTAGGCATAGTGTAAACTGTGATTACCTTTTTTTTGCTAGCACGAAGATAGTGCCGGTGTATATGTTAGTTCGTTTTAACAAAACTTTATCGGAAATGGAAATGCCAATGATTAGGAAGTTCCAAAAAGGTTGGCTATTGCAGTACTAGAATTGAAAACGCAGTACAAATATCGCATTTTGAAAAACATTGTGTGAAACTGTGTTGTGTGCAAGGTTGGACAAAACTGCTGTATTTTTTGCACGTAAAATAAAAAACATATGCTGATTTGGACGCCCTATTGACAATGCAAAATCATGAACATGCAATACGTATTCGATGAACCATTGAAATGCCACACATGGAGCGTTACCGTTCGTTACATCATTGAGTCCGTCTAGATCAGGCATGATCACAGCCGTAACAACTAACCAACTAATAACATATGTACATGCTGCTCAATACAACGTCCTTTCATGCATGGTAGGCTTTGAAAATTTGCATCGTGGTTAAACAGCATGGAATAGACTTGCATAACCAACACATTGTCTCATTATCAAAGAGGTGAGATTAATATAACCCAGTTAGAAATGCAACCTAGATCTGTGTTTGTTAATACTTATAATATGATGGAAGTACATTTGCCGCTCTTCGTAGGACAAACCGTTTTGTTCTAATTTTGTCTTAGTGATGCAGGTACACAGCTCGTGCATAGTGCATGCAAATAGATTGGCTGTTGGATGGATGCATGATATAGAACTAAATTCATTTACATAGCCAACACAGCACATATAGGCAGGTGCTTGGAAAGGATAAATACATTAAATTTGCGTCAGGTATTGCTGTCAAAATATATACAATTGTTGCAAGTTGGTTGGTTAGTTGTTACGGCTGTGATCATGCCCCTTCTAGCTGGCCTCAATGATGTTACGGACGGTACCTCTCCAAGCGTGATGATTGGCGGTAGCGGATATGGAAAGCTCCACTCAGTCTCTTCTATAGCGACGGAGACCGAAGATAGAAGTTCCAAGAAATGCTTCCATTTGTTGACGGACGGTTTCGAGTCAAGTCTTCACTTGACCTCCACTAAGGCGCCTCCAGTTGGGCTGCGCTGCCTGGTCAAGGGCAGCATAGCTAAGCTCCTGGGGCCGACGACGGAGAACGTGTCCAGAACACATCAGTCGTCTTTCTTGAATGGCCTGAGATATCGCCGCGAAACGATCGCAGCAGGTGCGGACTGTCTCATTTAAGATAAATTCGCCATACATAACTCAGGATGCCTGAGGATGGTCCTCAGGCATCGGTGGTCAAAGACTTCCATTCTTCGCTCCTCTTCAGCGCGCACAGCACAGCACTCACATCCATAAAAGGAGGACAAACCGGATGGATTCACGGTATACACAAATCGTCGTGGCGATGAAGATGTCGCGTTGGACGCACAGGCGCTTTTGATGGATTGAGAAAACCCTGTGAGCAGCATCGATACAGGAGACCGGGTCGTCTTTCCTCTGCCCATTCGGTAGCAGCCTCGCGCCAAGGTATTTAAAGCTGTCTACTTCTTCAAGTTGATGGTTATAAATCCCCACGCGGTGCCTGGTCAGGGATGGAGCTCGAGAATATCTTCGTCTTTCCGGAATTAATGACTATGCTAATCATCATAGCGATCTTATTTACCCGTGACACTACGGACTGTACACCACCAAAGCTTGAGGCTAGCAGCGCAGTATAATCGGCATGGTCGAAGTAAGTTAGCCAGCGTCCGGGTGCAAGCTAAACCCCGTCCCCTTTATGCAGGACCTTCCCGAGAATCCAGTCAATTACGTTATTAAACAGAATGAGCGGCAGGACGCAGCCCTGTCGGACACCAAACCGGATATCAAACGGTTCAGAGAGATTGCTGTGGGCCAGAAGTCGAGCGGTGATTTACCCATAGTAGGCTTTAACCATGGCAATGAGTTTGGTCGGCACTGCATCCAGTTTCATGTTTCGCCAAAGGGACTCACGATGGATGGAATCGCATGCGGCGATGTAGTCGACAAAGCAGACAGCCGTCGGTTGCTGGCAGCTATGACGAAATTCTAGAATGCGTCGCGGCGTAAATATCTGGTTCACACATCCACGCCAAGCGGAATCCGGCTTGGTTGGGCCGCGTCCTGGTATGACGTAGAGACTGGAAGTGTCTAACAAGAACAATAAAGAATATCCTTGCAGCAACGTCGATAAGACTTATGCTGCTGTAGTTCTCGCAGCTTGTGCTTTCTCCCTTCTGTGGTCAGGTACAATGATGCCTGAGCCCCAGTCATCGGGACCGGCCTCTTCTCGCCACGCCTCCACAATCACCTCATGAAGCCGAGGAGCCAGGGTGTCGAGACAGGATTTGTAGATTTCTACGGGAATACCGTCCTCTCCGCACGCCTTGTTTTTGTGCTGCCTCTGCACTGCATCGGAAACTTCGTCGGAAGGAAAGGAGGTAACACGACACTGCGTTGACTGGAGAGGGTTGAAACTCTTCTGTTAAAGAGAGGGAGGGTTTGGTGGGTTGTTTTTCAAAAGTGTGGATGTGCTGGAAATGTTCACGCCAGTGATTGACATTGGCTGTGTTGTCAGCACTAAAGCCGCGATTAACATTGCAAACAGAATCACAGAGTGTCGGGAGCTTACCACTAACTTGGCAGATGATTTGTTACAAATTTCGTGTGTCACCAACATTTAAAGCCTGCTCCATAGAAGTCGCCGTTTACGGACCAATACTTCTGCCGGTCATCTCTAGCCGACTTTGCTATCAGCTTTCGAAATTGCCGAAAGGAAGCATCGTTGCGGGACCTGGTTCGAGTCGTCTCGGCCGACAGCTGCAGGGTTCATCCGCTGATCCAGTCACCACGGCGGTGCTGAGTGAATCATGGAATTTTCTAAGCTGCTCATATACGAATGTCTTCAGTGATGACCACTTGCTACTGCCTTCGCTGTCAGCTTAGGTTGTAAGATGGGACCGGATTTCTGTGCTTAGAGCCTCGGTAGTGCAGGGTTGCCGGAGCTTTGCAACATCGAGGCGTCTTGCACGTGGCATTTTGGACGCAGGTGACAGGTGAAATGTCAGGCGCGTGCGAACGAGAGTAAAGTCAGACCAGTGAGCCTTCTAGTTTCAGCACCTTGCATTGACCTGCTATCGTGGATCCAACTGCGAAACAGTTAACCAACTGGAGTTTAGTCGATCCGACTGGCGCTACGGCCTTTGTTCGAATACTAGGTCAGTTGATCTTTGTCACGATGCTGACAGCATGTCTTAGTAACAAACACTCCGTCCTGTTCAGTTAACTGTGGCATCCT